CAAGATTGGAAATTGGGTACTGGTTTGGGCTGAGTATCATCAAAGATGAGCTTGTAGGAGCCTTACCGGGTTGAGGATGGAGTCAAGCTCAACTCCCAGTCCTACTGCCAGTTCCTGGAAGACACCTTCTTCAAGCAGTGGTACAGGAAGAAGTCTGCATCCTTCAAGAAAAACATGATTTTAATGCAGGACAATGCTCCATCACATGCGTCCAAGTACTCCACAGCGTGGCTGGCAAGAAAGGGTATAAAAGAAGAAAATCTAATGACATGGCCTTGTTCACCTGATCTGAACCCCATTGAGAACCTGTGGTCCATCATCAAATGTGAGATTTACAAGGAGGGAAAACAGTACACCTCTGAACAGTGTCTGGGAGGCTGTGGTTGCTGCTGCACGCAATGTTGATGGTGAACAGATCAAAACACTGACAGAATCCATGGATGGCAGGCTTTTGAGTGTCCTTGCAAAGAAAGGTGGCTATATTGGTCACTGATTTGTTTTTGTTTTGAATGTCAGAAATGTATATTTGTGAATGTTGAGATGTTATATTGGTTTCACTGGTAATAATAAATAATTGAAATGGGTATATATTTGTTTTTGTTAAGTTGCCTAATAATTATGCACAGTAATAGTCACCTGCACACACAGATATCCCCCTAACATAGCTATAACTAAAACAAACTAAAAACTACTTCCAAAAATATTCAGCTTTGATATTAATGAGTTTTTTGGGTTCATTGAGAACATGGTTGTTGTTCAATAATAAAATTAATCCTCAAAAATACAACTTGCCTAATAATTCTGCACTCCCTGTATATATATATATTTATTAATAGTAAAATACACCTAGACGGTGTACATGTGTGTATGTATATGTGTAGTATATATTATTATTTTTTTTACACCATTTATTTGTTTTAATTTTATTTTCAGCCAGCAGGGGGACCACCTGTCATTACAGGCAGCCACCCTGCTGGCAATACAGAAGCCAGCTATCCCCGGCCATGTGATTGTGGGGTCCTCGCAAGGACCCCACTCTCACATGGCCGGGGGGCTTCGTGGAGGACGGAAGTGCTGCGGGGGCTCCCTAGGAGTCCCCCCCACCGCGATCGCTGGCGTGGGACCGCCGGCGACCGAGTAAGTACCGAAAGACCGGAGGGCGTACTATTACGCCCACCGGCGTTTAGAGCCGCCTATTATAGGGCGTAATAGTACGCCCTCCGGTCTGAAGGGGTTAAATCACTTTGTTTCTGTTTATGCAGCCCTAGCCACACCTCCCCTGGCTATGATTGACAGAGCCTGCATGAAAAAAAAACTGGTTTCACTTTCAAACAGATGTAATTTACCTTAAATAATTGTATCTCAATCTCTAAATTGAACTTTAATCACATACAGGAGGCTACAGGGTCTAGCAAGCTATTAACATAGCAGGGGATAAGAAAAATCTTAATTAAACAGAACTTGCAATAAAGAAAGCCTAAATAGGGCTCTCTTTACAGGAAGTGTTTATGGAAGGCTGTGCAAGTCACATGCAGGGAGGTGTGACTAAGGTTCATAAACAAAGGGATTTAACTCCTAAATGGCAGAGGATTGAGCAGTGAGGTTGCAGGGGCATGTTCTATACACCAAAACTGCTTCATTAAGCTAAAGTTGTTCAGGTGACTATAGTGTCCCTTTAAATAAACACAATAAACCAGGACATGAAATATTAATGGATCGCTAATTTGATGATTATTGTTATTTTGTTGCTGCTATTAGTAGTTAGCCAATGGCTACAAAAGAACAAGAACAGAAAAATATTGTCTGTCCAAAAAAATAAATAAAAAAAGAGGGACTTTGTATATTACATGCATGCATTTAAGGGAGGCTATTGAAACCACTGTTTTGATTACTTCTTATGAAGCAATACATAATCAATTAAAATGTCAATAGCTATGAAGAGGCTATAAATGGCTATAACGGGGGAATCCAAGATGGGGTTTATTCTCCCTGAAGACTGCCTGGAGGTATTTAAAAGCAGTCAGAATGCTTATAGAAATAATGAATATGCTAGCAGTTTATGATACAAGCAAGGAATAGGTGATATCAACCTGAACAGAAAAGTTAATATTTTGCTTTTAAATGAAACAATGACTATGTGATATATTTTAGGTTTTTGTTTTGTAAGGATCAAAGTAAATCTAACAGTTAAAAGGCATAGCCACACCTGCTGAAGAAGTCGTATCCTCATGGCGCGGTCTGTAGAGGAGAACATTTTAACAATGACTGGAATTATCTTTTGTTGATATTCATCAGCATTAAGAAACTTCCCAATCTGAAAAGGAGTGTGATAAAGGAGTCAGTTATGTGTATGAAAGAGGTGTTCTAAAAAGGCAAAAACCGTGCCGCTCACACATCAAAATTATTCTAACCGTGCCGCTCACACATCAAAATTATTCTAACCGTGCCGCTCACACATCAAAATTATTCTAACCGTGCCGCTCACACATCAAAATTATTCTAACCGTGCCGCTCACACATCAAAATTATTCTAACCGTGCCGCTCACACAACAAATTACAGCATTGCACAAACTTTAGGCAAATAAACAGTATTTTCTCAAGCAGAAAAATAAATAAAAAGTCCATGTCATTTACAACACACTCTCTAAGGTAAAATCTACATCTACTCACCCCTTAGCAGGCATAACAATGTGCTTTCTAGCAGACAGCAATAACTTCATGACAGGGTACTACTATCCATTGTGACTTATACATTCTGCATGGGCATTGATTGCATAAATAGGAGTAGCAAACCTGTTTTAGAATACTTTATGATATCAGATGTGTCAAGGCCGTAGCCAGACCAAGAAATCACTGGTAATCTCTAGATAAGAATCAATGTTCAATTCTTTTGTTGGGCCAACTGATTATTTATAAAATAAATGATTTAATTAGAATCAGGTGTTAGAACCACTGTAGTTGTTATGGTACCAGGAGCCCCTGGTGCTGTCCCCCAAATGAGGGGCCAAATAGTTTGACACTTACCAAAGTGACAGAGTGACCATGCTGCCATATGACGGAAAGCATTCCCTCAAACTATGTCAAGTCTGAGCAGCTTTTCAGATTATTCACTGATCGAGCACATCAGATGACAGTCTTCACCAATAAAATGATGTAAAGCATTGCACAAAATTGACATCGCAAAAGAAGAATTAGAACTTCGGTTGTAGCTTCACCATGAAGACTAGGAACACTGCTGTTGCCCAGTGAAACTAAGATAGCTGTAAAACCATTTACAAACAATTTGACCCCTTACTGGGAAATCGCTCCAAGGGACTCCTGGCACCATAAAACAGGATGCCTGCAGTGGTTATTGTGCTTAGCATGATCTTTTAAGGAAGTATTGTATTACAGTTAAATTAAACATGTTCTGGTTAGATAATCTTGGCCACGCCATGCAGACATGGCAACGCAAGGTCCGACCCCTCACTTCTCATTTTTCTTGAGGGAAACATATTGCATACAGAAGAGTGATGATGAAGCAGCATATGGGCTGTTATAGCGCTGCTGAACCTACCTTAAATAAGGGAGTCAGGATAATTGCGCCAGCACTGCCAAATTCAAACGCTGTCAGCAGTTGGGGAAGGATTTTATGACGACAGAAATCCTCTGGGAATGTGTCCAAGTTTTCACTGAGCTGTCCAAAAAATGTCTGTCGCTCTGTGGGATCTTTTATCTATGAAAAGGAAAAAGGGCTTATTAAGATAAGAAATCAACGAAAAATGAAATGAAGAGGAGAATCAACAGGCAAGGAAGGCGGTCAGAGAAGGTGAGAATAAACATACTGAAAAGAATACAGCAGCCTTCGTGTAAGTGGTTTATTTCTAAACAGAGAAATATGTCATCAACTGAATTCTAACTAAAAACTTATAAATGATTTTAGTAAAAACCATGAGTGTCAATTATAGAACAGTACAGTCAAATCATTAGAAAAAGTCACAATGATTTTGGCCCACTTCCACTGTCTCTGGCACAGAATGAGTACATTTTCATCAGTCAGGTTTAACTTGTCTTGTAACACACTAAGCAACTAATTAGATGTTTTCTATGCTATTAACATTCCATTTACTTGGTTCTAACTGTCTAATTGGTCAACGAAATGTTGACGACATGCTCTACTCATAGAGGAAACCTATTCGGGTCTGTTTTTAGTTACAGACTCAGTAAATCTGACCGGAGTTTGTGTCTTTAGCAAACTAAGAAAATTTTCATTTGTGACACATCTAATCCAAGGGGCACTCCAATGTCCAGCTAAGGTTTCTCAGCACAAACAACACAACCCCAAGGTGTCCGTGAAGGAGAGATATACCACTCTTAGCACAGTAAGCACTGAGACTCGCTGTGACACAGAGAAACCCTAAGAATAGGCACATAACTTTTTGCTCATTCTCACTCTGTTTGCTGTAATTTTCTGGAGCTCGCTGTACAGGGTGTTCACATTTAGGAGGCCTTGAATTAGTTTTGCTCATTTGTTTGCTTTTGGCACCTAGCTCATATTATATATTAATACACAAACACACTGACTCAGGAAGTCTCTCTTTCTTACAATCTGTTTTTATCTTCGTTGCATATTCTAAGTGTCCCTGTAAGTTTAAAAGAGGGGATCCAGATATCTAGACGAGTACTCCTTGTTCATTGTATCTAGAGCAGTGGTAGGCAACCTTTGGCACTCCAGATGTTTTGGACTACATCTCCCATAATGCTTTTACAGCCATAATGCTGACAAAGCATCAAGGGAGATGTAGTCCACATCTCCTGGGGTGCCGAAGGTTGCCCAACCCTGATCTAGAGCATTATCAGCCATGTATCACAGATGTACATAACGCATGACTGAGGCACAAACTGAAATGCTGCAAACTTGCTATTAACACTGCAGTATCTCAATAGACAATTGTACGTTCATTTCTTTAGATTGCATTTCTACTATGGATAGAGAAGGCCTGGGAGTTGAAGATTTCGGACACAAGAACAAAGGACAACATGAGAGTTTTACATATGGAGACCCAGGTGCTGTGAGCACAATTCAGGATTATTATGTCCCACTAATGGGTAATACAGGTGAAAACAAGTGCTTTAGTTCACAGTATTTTGTGTAGAATTCCTTACTCAACATTTACATGTTGGACTGCCTTTGAGGATGGAATGAATCTACTAGACAAAAAAAAAAAATTAAAGGACAATCCACACTTCTAAAGCTGAAGAGGTTTATGGAGTTTCCCATTATAATGACAGTTTATAAAAGCACCAATTTCTATGAGAAATCAGCACTTTTATAAATAATTACTGAAATAACCTGTCAAACAGCCAAAGGGGTTATTCCTGCTTCCGTTAGCTCTCCTGAGCTAACGGAAGTGTCAGGTGTGCTTAACTTGAACATCCCTGTCTCCCTCCTAACCTCAGATCAAAATGCTGTGAATGCGAAAACACCAGGTAATGGGGGCACGCATGGCAGTCGGGTGCAAAAGTAGGCGCATGTGGAGGGCCGGAGGGAGAGCCCTTTTAAGATATACCCCAAATCAATACACGCATGTATTGATTTGGAGTATATCTATTAAACTTTGTTTTGCCAATTTGAGCAGTGGAGTATCCCTTTAAAGGAATGTCAAACAAGAAAACTGAAAGTCATAAAATAAGAAAAGTTTAATTAGTGGAAGAATAGTGAAAAAATGGCTTAACATGGAACAACAATAAAAATAAAGAAATGAAGAATTAAAGATGGAGAGCATGTGATATAATGTAAGAGTATAGAAAACAGAACAGCAAAAAAGACATAGAACCAACTGAGCAAGTGGCAGAAATTATTCAGAAACAAAATTAGAGTATACAATGGTGAGGTCTGACCTGAATCTCTTCCAGGAAGAGATTGGTTTCCACAAAACTGTTGCTAAGGAACCCTCCTGGGGAGCGGCAGTTCTGGAGGAAGCGTGCTGGATTGGGACGGGCTTTGGGGTTTGCTCCAACCAGCTCGCAGTAGTGAGGCACCAGTGTCTTGGGGATCTGATATATACAAAAGCAGGCAAATAAACCACAACATAACATCTTATCTGTAATGCATACATGCGCTACTATGACCTTTACACAAGTTATTGAATGTGTTTCACATCGACTGATAAAGTCCAACAAAAACTACAGATTGTGAAATATTGCTTTAAGGCTTAAAGGGTCACTCCAACCAAAAAACAGTGTTTTCATAAAGCACTGGTTTTGGTTACAGTAACCCTTTCTGTGGTGGCCCGCCCTCCCTCCCTCTCTGGTTTCCACTGGAGAGGCAAAATTCTTCCCTGATCTCGATCCTTCTTGGCTGACGTCACCATCCCTCACCGGAGGGAGGACAGGGAGGATGGACTGAGGGTAGGACATTAGCAGCATGGAAGGGAGGTCATGCCTCCATTGGCTGCCTGGCACCAACATGCTATGTGAGCTGGCATCATTATTAGCCAGTCCAGAATACGCCCAATGACCCTTCCATAGATGAAGTCACACCTCTGGAAGGGGACGGGTTAATCTCCGTACCTGTAGCATTTCAAAGTAAAACGCTGGACACACAGATTCCAGACACCATGACCACTTCAAATCACTGATTTGGTCATGGTGTTTGGAGTAATGCTTTAACAGAATTATAGGTTCTAATATTAAATTACAAGCTACTTCATTTTAAAAAACACTGAGCCACCAAGCTCACTATTACTTTTTTTTTTTTTTTTTGTAAATTCTTTCAAGCTCACTATTACATGTATGTATTGCATACCTTTCCAAGGGATCGGAGAGCAGTGGGGCGTGGAAGAGGACCATTAAACACCTCCCAGATTAAGCAGCCAAGGCACCACATATCAGCTGACCTGTTACACAGAAATTGCTCATCAAACTACTCCCCTTACAACGGGAGTCAGTTATGCAATGCAAGGGTTAATTAAAGAAAACAAAGAAAGAGAAAGTACAAGAAGGTGCAAGCAATCTATACAAAGAGAGCTTAGTTGCCAAACAGTGAATTGGCAACTAAACTGGAAAATTTCAGACTAAAATAGCATATCTGTGACCATGGCTTAGCTAAACAATTTGTAAATGAATTATTTTGGCCTATATGTTGGCATTTGGTTTCAAATCAATGCAATTTATACTTCAGAGGTTAAATTCAATGAAGCAGTATCTCTCAATAAGAGAGATACTGAAGCAGAAACTTTAGAAGGTTAAAGTAACACACCACTTTTCCTTGGAACTCTTGGATCGCTCTGTCTTTTCTGGGGGGTCATATTTCTCCAGCTCGCTGATCTTTCTGGGGGCTGTTTCTTCTGCTCCAGCTGGGTACATATACTCAAGACCACCCAGCTTCCATTCCCCAGCACGGTCCACATACACAGCCGACATACAGACATTATTGTGAATTAGGTTACCATCATTCACCAAAAAACTGAGTGCTTTCTAAAGTGAAATAAATACATAATAGGGAAATTGGGTCATTCCTGCTATTTGTTACCGAATAAAGCAAAAACATTTAATATAACACATACGAATTTGACACTCTAATGATTGACATTCTTACCACAATCTGATGAAGGCCCCATGAGATCTCCAACTCACTGACTCCCCCCGAATCAGTCCTAGACTTCATGTATGTTCCAAGCTGGGTCACTGGCTCAGTCACTATGTATACACATTTGTCAGTCTGAAATAGCAACGAAAGATGAGGGACTTTTTAGTTTTAAAAAAAAACCACACAAAATAACAGAGAATGAAAAACAAAGGTATATTCCTTAATGCTGTTCAGTAACCTGGATTAGGCAGTCATTTTTTTTTTTGTAATCACAACAGTCCTCACAGATTATTAGACCTGAAGGAGATACTCTCAACAGAGGGGAGAGACTGCTGCTGTTTGATGCTGTGACTTTATTTTAAATGGAAATCTATAGTCCCAAAAATAATATTTTTTTCGGGACAACTGGTTCTCATCTATCACTGTGCGCACTTGCCACTCTCCTTTGCTGATAAAAATGTAAGTTAAATAAAGTTTTATCACCGCATTTCAAGCGCAGAGACTTCTCCTTTGCAACTCCCGCTTCTTCTCAGAAGATGTCAGCATGCCTCAGTCTTATCCAATCTAAGCTTCGATGGATGAGATACCCATACGTGGCCAAATGTCACAGTTATCCAGTCAAATGCTGCTGTAAACAGATTTTTAATGCAGGGCCGAGTTTGACGCTGTTCTGAAGGAGGAAGCTACTCTAGTGGTTGTCAAGTAGACAGCCGCTAGAGGTGTACTTAACCCTTCAATGTTAAAATTGCCGTTTCTACAAAATGGCAATGTTTTACACTAGGGGATTAAAATGAAAGGACCACTGCCCCAGAGCTCTTTATTGAGATGAAGTGGTCTGGGTGACTTTAGTGGATCTTTAACGTATGTGTTTAAAATGCATTTCTTAATAAATTTATTTAATGACATTACACTATTGTGGCTGCCTTTTGTCCTTATGCAACTACCATCTACTTTCGAGTGGAATCGAATAAACTGAATTTATTTTGCGAAGTAATTTGGGAGGAGCTGTATCCAAGACATATCCGTTGGCCAGCTAACAATTGTATTCTACCCTATGAAATGTTTTCTTTCTTTCCTTTATTTGTAGTTTTTGCTCCCATATTTATAGAAAACTGGTTGAGGATTTGGAGAAGACGATGGAAGCATATCTCTAAGGCAGGGGTTTTCAATTTATTTTCTCATTGTTGAGGAATACATACTTTTGTTGTTGTTATAGCTTTAAAGAACCGTAACCAAAATAAGCAGTAGTGGGCATGGTGCTTGCAGTGTGCAAGTAAATCATAGTTTGTTTTTGTAGAATATTCTGTTCCAGGATTTTTGATACAGGCTGTCTAGTAGCAAGATCAATTTAGGCAAAATACAGTGTGTGGGTTGAACAAATCACAGGAAAAAAAATGTGGTGCATATTTAAGCAGTACCAATTATCATGATCCAATAAAGCAGGTTAAAAGACATTATGACTAGATCTGTACTTTAAAGGGATTCTATAGTGTTAGGAATACAAATCTGAATTTCTAATGTTATAGTGCCCATTAGTCCCCACCCCCGGTTTCTCCCCTCCGGCACACAAAGGGTTTAAAAAAAAAAAAAACCTTAACGCGCCCGACTCCAGCGCTAATGTCCCTCTGCACTGGGTTGGCAATCCTCCTCCTCCGACGTCAATCAAAAGGGGGACCACAGAGAGCGCCTCAAGCACATTAGACCCTCCTCATAGGAAAGCATTGAATCAATGATTTTCTATAGGGTTTTCGCTGACGCTGGATGTCCTCATGCAGAGGATGACGTCCAGTGTTGTTTAAGGGTCTGCTAGCATTCTGGAAGGGACTCTAGTCAGTAAAGGAGGAGTGTATATTTAAAAGAAAAACTACCACAACAAGAAGACAGTCTTAAATTAGAGAGATAAAGGTTTAGCAATATCAGGAAGTATTACTTTATTAAGAAGGTAGTGGATGCATGGAATAGCCAGTTGAAAAGAGAGAGCAGGGAGAGTGTGTCAGGTTGCTCGTGAGAATGGGGGGTAACCCCTATACATAAATACAATAATAAGATAACTGAAGGGGAGACAGGGAGATGGTGAATTGTGCGCACCACTCAAGTCAAAAATTATTATAATCAAGTAAGTGGACTTATTTGATTATTAGAATTTTTCAAACATCCTTGTCTTGGGTATTTTAAAATAATTGATTACAAGTGATGGTTTTAAGCTTCTACTAAGGGTTGCTCTCCTTTTTCTCAGAGGGAAGACTTAGGAGGTGCAGACAATTCACCATCTCCCTGTCTCCCCTTCAGTTCTCTTATTATTGTATGCATGGAATAGCCTTCCAGCTGAAGTGGTAGAGGTTAACACAGTAAAGGAGTTTAAGCATGCGTGGGAAAAGCATAAGGCTATCCTAACTATAAGATAAGGCCAGGGACTAATGAAAGTATATAGAAAATTGGGCAGACTAGATGGGCCGGATGGTTGTTATATGCCGTCAAATTCTATTTTTCTGTCTAAATGCAGTCTTAGCCGGCCACTGAAGGCAGTCTTAGCCATGCAAGGCAAATTTTTGCAGTTTCTCAAACTGGACAAAGTGGGATAGGGACCCTGCACCCAAACCACTTCAATGAGCTGAAGTGGTCTGGGTGCCTATAATGTCCTTTTAACCCTTTAAGGACCAAACTTCTGGAATAAAAGGGAATCATGACATGTCACACGTCATGTGCCCTTAAGGGGTTAAGCAGTTATGAAACATATGCACTACACCGAAATCTACGTTGAACAGTCGCCACAGTCAATCTACTGAACTGGCAACTAAATTGATAAGGTTTACTGGGTCCAGTACCTCCAATCCATCCACATATGATAAAATATTGGGGTGTCTCAGGGTCTTGATCCGTTTCAAAGCAGATCTGGCTGCTTGCGTCTGCTCTTCTGCACTTGGTTGTATCTCGTATGTGAACACAGACACTGCGTCTCCACCGACCTGTCTCGTGAACAGATACAAACTATTACCATAACCTTGTCATATATGCCAGCTTTTCCACCCCCCATGCAATAACAATACATATATCTTCAAGCAATTGTTGAGCATTCCATTGTAGTTATTCACTAAACTCCAGAATGTTGCGAATTAAAATGTGAGGCTAAATCAGCAAACCTGACTTATTTCTTTATTTTTAAAACTGACCTGCGTATTTATATTTCCAGATCTCCTATTTCTGTCTTAATTTTTTTCAATTCGGATTTTAATACCCCCCACCCCCCCAAAAAAACCTGAAATGTTCCCTGACTAACTGTTTATGGTAGTAAAGTGCAAATAGGTAAAGAGCTATATTAAATCACATAGTGATATCTGTTGTAACATGCAAAACACACTAATTATACAGCACAAATTAATATGCTACTACACCCTGAAATTATTTTTAGTAACCATAGTAATAATATCCAGCCAGCCCATTATACAACAACCCCAAACTAGATAATAACAAATCACCCTGCAGCTACTGGCTGCCACCCTCCCCCAAACAAATACCCCTTAGTGATGCCATGGGTACCCTCACCTTCTTTTTTCCTTTCTGGATGCCCCATCCTCCCGGTAACTCCTCTCTCTCCCCAATAATATCATAGGGGAAATCACGGGCCGGGTCCCGGGACCAGAACCACATCCTGACACCGACTGGGGGGGGGGGAGAGGGAGGATGGGACACGTCACCGTGACGTTCCCGGAATAGGGGCGTGGCTAGGTCGACACGTAACCCGCAGAGCTGTTTAGTTGGTGACGTGACGCCTATAGAGCTCTAAACACAGACCTCGCAGGGGGGTTTATTCTATACTGGTGGTTTATTACATGGCTGTGAATTTACTCTAGACTGTAGAGCTCTATCCCAGCAGGATCACATGACACCGGGTCACGTGACTGGGGAGGTGGTGCAGCTGTGTGATGTGGTATGAAAGCTTGTTGCTCAGATGAAGCTTGCACTAGTCCAGGGGGTTATGCACCCTCAGGCACTACTGATGTCGTGGACTACATCTTCCTTGATGCTTTGCCAGCATTATGGCTGTAAGAGCATTGTGGGAGGTGTAGTCTACAACTTCTGGAGTGCCCAAGGTTGCCTTCCCCTGCACTAGGCTTTCCTTGATCTATTATTGTTTTGTTTCACCATAGTTCACTAATCTCTGAATTGCAACATTTCTCTCTCTGCCATAGTTACATCTTGACTTTTATAGACTAGATTTGTCTGTTCAGATTTCACTTTGCTACAATTGGGGGTTAGTGAATACAATCTACTGGGTAATTACCTGATCTGGAAAATATATCACCAACACAGCTGTCACAGTTTGGCTAGTTTAAAGGACAACTGTCAACTCAAACAGCTGCGAGCTACCGCCGGTCTGCCTGCACTGGGGCCCAACACGCTGAGGGGGCCCATTGGGTGACCCATGCACATCGGGACACCCGATAATGTGTTCTCATGGGCACTGCCAGCGCCGCGGCTGTTTAATAGCGCAACTGGGCCCCTTTAAGTGACAGCCGGTCACTTCCCCCCAACTAACACTGTACCGCAGGGGAAGAGGCAGTGAGCAGGGGAGCACTGTCTGGGAGAGTCTCTGACTACCAACAGCCTCAGCCAGTAGACTGAACTCCAGGGATGCCACCCTCCTGCACCCTAAAGGTAGGAAACAGGACAAAATAATTGCACCAGTACCTTCTCTACTTTAGTTCTACCACTGACCTCAAACCTATATATATTATAGCATACAAAAAAATGGAGTTATGCGCAGCTGGTATTTAAAGTGCACACCCGGGTGCTACCATATTTATTGGAAGAACAAAATACAAGTTGCAAATGTTTTGGGCGATTGCCCTTTATCAATGCTAATGCTTGAATCAGTACTGAATCAGTGCAGGCAGATTTTCTGATCACTATGTTATTTAATAATAGTTTAATCAAGTTTTGAAAGGAAATACATATATTTTTTAAATGAAGTGTGTTAAAAAAAAGAGAGAGGGGGAAAACTCATCTCTACATTTAGTATTTGACGGGCATATACATTGATCAGCCACAACATGAATATCACCGGCCTAATATCGTGTAGGTAGACATTGTGCTGCCAAAAGAGCTCTGATGCATTGAGGCATGGACTTAAGAGGTGTATGTGGTCTGCAACAATCTCTAGGTAGTTGGTACGTGTCAAAGTAAAATTCACATGAATGCCAGGACCCAAGATTTCCCAGAGCAAATAACTGCCTCCGTCGGCCTGCCTTTTATTCATAGAGCATTCTGCTGTCATCTCTTCCTCAGGCAAATGATGCACACACAACCAGCCATCCACCTAATCTAAAAGAAACTGTGATTCATTAGACCAATGAAACTTCTTCCATAGTCCCATGGTCCAGTTCTGACACTCATGTCCCCTTTGAAGGAACCGTCTGTGGTGGAGAAGAGTCATCATTATGGGTGCTCTTACCAGTCTGCAGTTATGTAGCCACATATGCAGCAAACTGGAAGTGATTCCACGGGATCCTCCATAGACAGTCAATTCTCTCCAGCTATCACTGTTGACAGTGACGCTTGAAAAAAAATAAAAAGAACCCCTGCGCCGAGATCACTTCATTGAGATGCAGTGGTCTGGGTGCCTTTAGTGGTCCTTAAGCTTCAATTTTGTCATTTGGATTATATAATCAGCTATATTTTGAAAAACAGTGTAAAAATCCATATGATTTTGCCATGCTGTGAGGCTTTATGCAAAAATTGCAAGTCCCCACTTGTTACTCTCCCCCACTCTCTCATTCCATATTTATTCCTCTTTGTCCCTCACCAACAAGTTGCTCCCCACACACAAACACACATATTATACCTTACTCAAGCCTATTCCAACTGAGTTTGCTTTAGAGGGGGCTTAAGGGAGGTGTTTATAGTAATATAAATATAATAATATAGAGGTAACATTTAAAAATTAATTTCACTTTTTACTTTGGTGGCTGGCTAGCAAGCAATGGAATGTAACCATAGAGTTTAACACTTGGAGTTTTAAACTATTTCACCACTGGTTGTTAGTGCTTCCAGTGGGCAAATAGTCCTGACAATCATATCTCGCTTTGCATAAAGCAAGAAGTGAATGATATTTAGCAAATCTGAAAGATACCAGATGCATAATTTCTTAATTTTCTTTGAAATTAATTCTTTGTAAATGTCAGAATTTTATAGTTTATATCGGATTCAGATACGAAAAACACTGATTCTATAGTCGAGACCGAATGCATCGAGGCAGATGGTGCAGATCCGGTTGGGTTGACCTGACTTGTTCCAGGATTCTAATATTATGTTTACTTATCACTATCTTTAACAAATAAGTAGAAAAGCACCAGTGAAACATGGTACATAAAAAAAAAAAAGGGAGTGGATGAACTAAGCTGTGAAATGCTGAACCAATCTTATAGGTACCACAACACACAATAAAGCAACACAACTGAAAATATAGTAAAGTGGCAACATAACTGGATGCTCAATGGTGAAAAAGTGAACACAGTACTTTGAAGGATAAATGCAGAAAAATAGCTTAAAGGGACACTATAGTCACCTGAACAACTTTAGCTTAATGAAGCAGTTTTGGTGTATATAACATGCCCCTGCAGCCTCACTGCTCAATCCTCTGCCATTTAGGAGTTAAATCCCTTTGTTTATGAACCCTAGTCACACCTCCCTGCTTAAATGCATGCCTGTAAAATACAAAGTCCCTCTTTTTTATTTATTTATTTTTTTGGACAGACAATATTTTTCTGTTCTTGTTCTTTTGTAGCCATTGGCTAACTACTAATAGCAGCAACAAAATAACAATAATCATCAAATTAGCGATCCATTAACCCCTTAAGGACGCATGACGGTTCAGGACCGTCCTCTGCATTTTTGCGTTGCCGACCGAGGACGGTCCTGAACCGTCCTAACGGAAAACGGGCGGCGGGAGCGATCAGAGATCGCTTCCGCCGAAATCCCGTTGTTACTATCTGCCCGGCATCCCAGGCAGATAGTAACAGCCAATTACGGCGTGTGAACGATCCGCGATCGCTCACAATTGGCTGGTGTCAAAGTGGGTGTTACAAACACTCACTTTGACACTGATCTCTGCCTCTCTCCTCTCTGTAGCGTTTTGTGAGAGGAGAGAGACAGAGATCCTGATAGTTTGTTGCAGCAGCTGTTCCTGAGAAAATTAAAAAGTATCTGCAGTTAATAAAAATCCCCTTTTAACCCCTTCCCTGCCAGATCTGTTACAGACAGTGCATTTGTACTGTCTGTATTTTTTTTTTGCCCTTAAGGGTTAACTTTATTTTTAAAAATCTGTGTCTTAGACTGTCTTAGACTGTCTTAGACTGTCGTAGTCTGTCGTAGTCTGTTTTAGTCTGTCGTAGTCTGTTTTAGTCTGTCATAGTCTGTCATAGTCTGTCGTAGTCAGTCAGTTTCCTTCCCCCAAATCTCCATTAGATTCTTCTAACAGGAGTTAGTTTAGGGATTACTGTTTTAGTCTGTTTTAGTGTTTAAAAAAAAAAAAAATATTGTGTTTAGTATTTTGTTAGTTTAGTCTGTTAGTGTGAAACATGCAGCGCATGTACAGCTTGGAGGAGGCATATGCCTTCTTGGCGTCAGACTCTGGCGCCACTGACACTGCGTCCGATTTTGACCCAGGTCAGTTTAGCGGCACGTCTAGTGACATGTCATCTGTGTGTGAGCCAGCTGCTAAAAGAAGCTGTGCTTCCCCTGCTACGCTGAATGTGGAGGAGGACTGGGTACCTCCACAGTTAGCTGAGCCCAACATCCCCCCTTTTAGTGCCAACGCAGGCATTAATGTGAATGTGGTTGACTTCTCCCCTATACAATATATGGAGTTATTTTTAGGGGATACCATCTGGGAGGAGATTGCTTCCCAGACTAATTTATACGCTAGCCAATTTATTGAGACCAATCCAGGTAGCTATACAGTCAGGGAGCATGCTTGGCATCCCACAGATGTCCCTGAACTTAAAACATTCTGGGCTCTTACCATGCTCATGGGGATAATAAAGAAGCCATCAATCCGGTCTTACTGGAGCACCAACCCAATTTGTTCGACTCCTATATTCTCCCAAACAATGCCTAGACCAAGATCTGCTCAGATACTTACATTTTAACGACAATACGCTCTATCACCCCAGAGATCACCCCCAATATGATAGGCTTCATAAAATACGCCCACTGGTAGACCATCTTCAGAACAGATTTTCTGAAGTTTATACTCCCCAACAAACTTTATCCATCGATGAATCCCTTATGAAATACAAAGGGAGATTAGGGTTCAAACAATATATCCCCTCAAAGCGGTCTAGGTATGGCATTAAAGTGTACAAACTTTGCGAGAGCGAAAGTGGCTACACATTTGCCTTTCGTGTATACGAGGGGAAAGATGCTCAACTGAACCCTCCTGGCTGTCCTGACTCTCTGGGGACAAGTGGGAAACTTGTTTGGGACCTACTGATCCCTTTGTTCAATAAGGGTTACCACCTTTATGTGGACAATTTTTACAGCAGTGTCCACTTGTTTAAAATTCTTTATAGTTTACAGACACTGGCCTGCGGCACTGTAAGAAGAAATGCCAAGGATTTCCCCAGACCTCTCATAGAGGCCAAATTAAAAAAAGGGGAATGCAAAGCTCTGCGCAAGGCTGAACTGCTTGCGCTAAAATTTAAGGACAGGAAGGATGT